ACCCAGGGAGCAGCCCTCACACTTGCAATCCCAGAACTGGATTAAGAATCAATCACAAACTTCAGAAGCCACCCCATGATTGCATGAGATTTTGGGGGGACAGCTAGACATAAAGCATAACAGATATATTGAACCATTCATGAATCCCTGGGATGAATCCCACTTGCTCATGATATATAATCTTCTTGATGATTTGCTGCATTCTGTTTGCTAGTATTTTATTGAGGATTTTTGCATTTATGTTCATTTGGGAGACAGGGCTACAGTTCTCTTTTACAAAACTTCCTTTTATTTTTAGCATTCTTTAGAGTCTCCAGTGAGGAAGAGAGTTAACATATTCATATGCTTTCCTTTTATCTAGAGTTGCTTAAAATAGCAAGCTTCCAGGAATGCTTGAATGAAAACATCAAAATTTTATTCTTTTTTGATGTTGTTTGGATTGTTGATTTGATTTGTTAGACTCAGGCAATATGAGCCAGAAATATTTTACAAGTGCTTTTTAAAGAAGTATCAACAGATTTTCTTTATTATTTCATGGCCCATGTGGTAGAAAAATATTCAACTATACAAAGAGATCTTTTGTTATTACTCTGAGCTCAAGACTCTGACCATGAGACATATTACTAAAGAATAAAAAAGACAAAGCAGTTTCATTACTCTCAACCTCTGTTAGCCAAGCAAACATAAATTTTCATTTTCAAAATAGATGACAGTTGGTCAACTCTTCTTATCCTCAGTTCAGATAGAAATTGCAAAATTGCAAAGTGCAACTCCCTTCATGTTGCATCTTTAAGCTATGAGAATTGAGAGCACTCCACTCCTAGTACTGATCTCTGAGCTTTGGATACCAGGAATTCTCGGTTATTAGAGTAACCCTATATCCTCTATTCATCAGGGTGAGCAGCCTATGATAAGAGCACCTCTAGGTGTTTCTGGCATCTCCTCAACAGCCTGAGCTTGTGGCTTCTATAAGCTCTTGTGTAAGAAAGAGGATTCCATTAGACATTTTAAAGTAATCATTCTTTTTAAGAAGTATTAATAACAAGGTGGCATTTGTCTGGGTTTGGATCAATAATTCTGAGGTGTGTCCTTGTAGAAATATTTGTATGCATGTATAAATTGTGGTGGTCTTTGTGAAAGTTGTGGTTCTCACAATCTGCTTGATCATTACATCATACAAGTTTGCTAGGCAATCCTGTATCATGATCTCCTGTCTTCATTTATTATTCTGTTTGTTATGGTTGACATCAGTGATTTCACTTTGATTCTGATAATATGCATATTATTCCTAGTTTCCTGTTGCTCATGTAATAAATTATCATATATTTAGTAATTTACACAATATTTTTTTTTCAAAGTTTTATTGACAAACAGATAGCAATGAGACAGTTTCAAATCAAATCAGAAGGACAGTTTCAACAAATAATACACTGCATATATTCTTCTTAGTGGTTAATTGCTGTACAAGATGCGGACTTGTGATCCTATTTACAAACACCA